CCGGCAAAAGCCAAGCTGGTAGGTCAGAAGAGGAGTAGCTGTTGACACTGGCAGCCAGGAACATGTAAAGAGAAAGATAAACAGAGGGAAATCAGAGACTGGATAAAGGAGATCTCCAAAGATAAAGTTTAGTTAAAGATAATGAGCTGGCCTTGTTTAAAAGACAGCTGCAAAGGAACCCGGTAGCTCCATGTGCCGGGGTTAAAGTTGACCTCGAATATACGTTTCATTGCTTTTCATAAATAAATAGTGGAGGGAAGATTTGGCAAAAAGCAACATTGCCCCCACCCCTCTTGAGCAAAGTGTTTGATGTTAACAACTTCTCCTGGTGTTTACTCTGTCCCCGGCGCTCGCCGGTGGAGCGGCTCCGCTGGCCTTGAACCGAGCGAGAACTCAAATAAACCAAAGCCTGTTCTGCACAGCTGAGCCCTTCTGCCATCTGCCTCTGACCACGGCACAGCTCGGCAGCGGCTCTTGCAGCCTCCTCAAGCTGTCACTGTGAGCAGGGAGAAGCAGCAGCGAGCAAACGGCTCTCTGAAAGCTGGAGTGGTGGAGGTGAGATCTCAGGTGGAAGCTCTTCCCTGTGAGGGTGCTGAGGCGCTGGCACAGGGTGCCCAGAGAAGCTGTGGCTGCCCCATCCCTGGCAGTGTTCAAGGCCAGGTTGGACACAGGGGCTTGGAGCAACCTGCTCTAGTGGAAGGTGTCCCTGCCCGTGGCAGGGGTTGGAGCTGGATGAGCTTTAAGGTCCCTTCATCCCAAACCATTCCTTTATTCCTTCATTCTTACTGGAGTCTTTTCCCAATGCTTATATTGCGTATGTATTTTACAGTGATGTCCCCATGATAAAATACTGTGATTTTTAAATAAACCATAGGAATAACTTTGCTGTTGGTATCCTCTGGATCCAGCTGCTTGGAAAGCAAATGGCTCTGCCATTCCCATAAACTGGGAATTGTTTCTCTCAAGCATGTGTGTTGTTGCACTTGTTTCTGCACACTGCCTGTGAACTCAGTAGGTCTTGTATGTGTGTTGGATCCATGTTTATGTTCGTGTCTGATAGATGAGATGTTTAAAATACATGTTGAGTGTTATCAGCAGTGGAATTGCGTGGCTGGAATGATAAATGAAGTAACTGTGCTAAATGGACCCAAATCTTATCCATCACCGTGTTGCGCAAGGAAATAGAAAATTTCAGCGAACAACAGCCCCAGATTAATTGTTTTTCTTGGAGGAGAGAACGTTTGATGGAGACTGAGTGTCAGAGGCAGGCTTTGAGACTCACCCTGCACAAGTTAGGCTGCTGGTTTCAGGATTTACTTCGTATTTTCATTGACTCATAGAATGGTTTGGATTGGAAGGACCTTAAAGCTCATCCAGCTCCAACCCTTGGCCACGGGCAGGGACACCTTCCACTAGAGCAGGTTGCTCCAAGCCCTTGTGTCCAACCTGGCCTTGAACACTGCCAGGGATGGGGCAGCCACAGCTTCTTGGGTTTCATGATTTAGTTTGTACTTCTTAATGATGAAAGTGAGACCTGATGTTCGAGGTGTGATACGGCCAAAGGAAAGACTGTCTTCTTGTCGGAGCAGCCATGGAGATGCCCAGCAGAACTGCTTGGGGGTGTAACTGTGGATGGCAGGAGGGTTGGAACTAGATGATCTTAAGGTCCTTTCCAACCCTAACCATTCTGTGATTCTATGATTGGTGATCTTTGTGGCAGATGTTGGGCATGGTGTGACTGCCAAGCCCCCTGGGAGCAGCAGGCAGGTGACCTGTCTCAGGAGGCAGGTTTAGAGCCGTTACGAGTCAATTCATAAGCCCTTGCAAACCAGGCACAGGCTGGTGATAGATGACCCCATGGTTATTGTTTGCAAACAATATTATCTGCAATAGATAAGCTGTTTACTTTGGGCTTCAGCTCCTCTGCGTGGAAAGTAGTGTTAATTTATCAAGGCACTATGGTTGGAGTGGGTGCCTCGTACCCAGCTGTGGAAAAATCCCTTTATATTAAGAATAGCACTTGGAAACCTCGTGAAGTTCAACTCCTGGCTCGTTTTTACAGATGGTTTCTATATTGCAAAGAATATTGGCTGTTTCCTGGTTGTGCTTTTTTTTGAAACCCCAAACACTTTGTTGTAAGAAAGTTAAAAGACTCAACTCCTGCAACTTACAGTAGACATCTGTTTGTTTTGTAGCTGGTTTGGTGCCTCGTCTTAGTCTGGAGCTTCCTGCTTTCAACTCCCATAATCTGGCGCTATGCATCCGGATCCTGGGCTCTTCCTGGCACTGCTCTTCATCACTGCCATGGGCATCGTCTCTGCAGCAAGCTCAGGTAAGGTCTCCTCACCCCAGGTTGGGGAGTTTTGGAGGTTGAGCCCATGCTTTTGGATGAGCAACAACTTGGAGTGTGATTCAAAGTGGCCAACTTCAATGTGTGTCATTGATAATCTGCTTTTCACAAGCATAGAATGTGTTGGAAGGGACCTTAAAGCTCATCCAGGGACACCTTCCACTAGACCAGGTTGCTCCAAGCCCCATCCAACCTGGCCTTGAACACTGCCAGGAATGGGCCAGTCACAATATCTTTGGGCAACCAAAGACATTTAAGCACTTAAACAGTCTTAGGCTGAATGTATGAACTTGCTTTTGAAACCTTGGCTCCAAACAAGTGTGGGAGACTCCCAGTTACGTAGGTTTGTTCTTTGGGATCTCCATGGACTTAGCTGGACACCGATTCTGCTGCGTACAGCACATCTCGTGGTCCCGTGGGGCTGGGAGAGGCTGGAAATGTGCAGGGGGAAAGGGGGAATGAGATCCTTGAAACGGGAACGCTGATGCGTGGCTGCAGTTGGAACAGCTCGTGGGTTAAAAAAAGAAGAGGAATGGTTTTAATTGACACATCTGCTCTGTGTAGTCAGCTTGTCTTAACCTAACCACACAAAAAAGAAGCTTTTACTACTTTTAGCACTTCATAGCCAATCGTTAGGAGCAAATGGGATAAATTTGAAGTTTCAAGCAGTCGTGGCAGATAAATTCCAGCTGCAGGGTCACTGCTACCAGCTTTGACACCGAGCACAAAGTGTTGCTATCACAAGCAAGGGCAGGGCTGGAGGTGAGGGCAACGGTGCGCTTCCATAGCAGTTGCACACTGCAAAGGTCACTGCCTTCCTCATCCCTGGAAATTCAAACCAAACCGAGAGGAAAACCAGTTTTCTAATTACAAGCTAAAAATGGACATCTGGAGCCCCGTGAATGGCTTGGATGCCATTTGTGTGGATTTCATCTTTTCTGTTAAGTGAAGCCACACTTCCATTTCCAGTTTTACTTCATGGCTATGCAGATAGTTTATGGCTCTGTTAAAAATGCAGTTTCTCATCTGAAACTCATAACCAGAGCTGGGGTGGACTGACTTGAGAAGAAAAGCATGAGCTGAGGGCCCCACCTAGGAGAGGACTGTTTCTTCCTTGGATGTCAGTTAATATCCTCTTGACCTGTACTATCTGAAATTCCACAGCTCCTTTACAAACCAGGAATCCTTTTCCTCCTATATTTCTACCCACATAGGAGTTACTGGTATTAATCCTTTGCTCTCTTCATACAAAATCTGTAGCTGAGAATTCCATAGAAAACAAATGGAAATGATTCCCAGGGTTTCGTTGGCCAGGAGGGGAAAAAAATTTCCTCCAACAAGCAGGAATTTTCTTCTGGCAAATAAATGGATTCTCAGCACCAAGTTTTGTGGGACTGAACCTTTTATTTATTAGTAGCTTTTCCTGTTTCTGTTCATCTTTACTCGGTAAAGATAATGCTGCCCAATTCATCATTCTTCTCCTGATGAAGTCCATGTATCTGGAATTAACAAGAGCCTTTGCTGCTCATCCAGCTTTTTTTTTTGCATCCTGCTATTTTTAATTGGTTCTGCAGACTGGGAGACGGGGCTGCAGAAATACCTGGCAGGCTGCTGCCATTCCTGGGATCAGACAAGTCACGTCCAGGCCCGCTTCATACGGGACCGATCAGCTCCAGCTTCGTGTCCCTGTTCATCGCTTCAGGTGATGGGTGCTGTGTCACTCCATATAAATCCCTGGGATTGGAGATTGTGCCCTAGCAAGAGTGATGCCTTTGCCTTGTGCATACCTGAGGGGGTATCACCCTTTTTGTACACCAAACCTACCTTCCTTTAATCAAATGGGCGCATTCCCAGCAAGTTGAGGGAGGGGATCCTGCCCCTCTGCTGCGCTCTAGGGAGACTCCTCTGCAGCCCTGATCCAGCTCTGGGGCAACAGCACAAGAGGGACATGGAGCTGCTGGAGTGACTCCAGAGGAGGCCCTGGAGCTGCTGCGAGGGCTGGAGCAGCTCTGCTCTGGAGCCAGGCTGAGAGAGCT